TTTTGTTTATTAGATAATTTAATGTACATTGTTTTTGTTTATTAGTTAATTTCATGTACATTGTTTTTGTCCATTAGATAATTTAATGTACATTGTTTTTGTTTATTACATAGCTCCTGAAACGTGTGTGACGGACGTAAGCACAGAAACGAACATTATCCAATCATATGTATTCAATCATTATTTTCTGTAAATTGTGATTACTCTCGAATCTAACTTTATCACAGAATCAAACCAGGATTCGTCTCTACATGTACATAAATTCCTTGTCAATTTTAACCAGTCTCTCATACCTTTTTCACAAATTCACCATTTTTAGTGTGACGGACGTACGGTGTGTGATTTCATCACTGTATTTCGTCAAACAGTCGAAAAATAATTTGTCAAACCATATTGTATAAGCAGGATACCCGGCTTCGCTCGGGGGTCATAACTCTGAAACCGGAAGTGGTAGACTAACACCACCTGGCCTATGTTACTCCCCGTTCCGAGTTACCCCTATACCCCAAATTTCAGACTTGGGCCAGACCTAGTGTAGCCGCCAACCCCGAACAGACCGTCTTCGCTCGGGGGTCATAACTCCGAAACCGGAAGTGGTAGACTAACGCCACCTGGCCTATGTTACTCCCCGGTCCGAGCTACCCATATACCCCAAATTTCAGACTCGGGGCAGACCTAGTGTAGCCGCCAACCCCGAACAGACCGGTTTCGCTCGGGGGTCATAACTCCGAAACCAGAAGTGGTACACTAACGCCACCTGGCCTATGTTACTCCCCGGTCCGAGCTACCCCTATACCCCAAATTTCAGACTCGGGGCAGACCTAGTGTAGCCGCCAATCCCGAACAGACAGACAGACAGACAGACGACAGTCACAAATACATATATAGATAGACAGTATCTTTGGTACAGCTGATACATGGAAGAACAATACTTAAAGATGCATTATGTAAGATTTAGATAAAGAGCTAGCCATTCTCGCTATAATAGTTTAAAAATAGATAATGTAAAATGTATAAGCTTATGTTGAAAATTTAAGTCAAATTACTTTATTCTGGGCGCAGTTACACTCATAATGAACGTTTTAAAATTTGACAAGAAAAAGTGTAGTCTCGATTGTCAAAGTTTAGTTGTTTAATTATTAAATGTACGCAGTGTTCTAATCTACTTAAAATCGGAGCCATCCGATGGCCTAGAGAGTTGATTATGGGCTTGTTATGTAAATAATTTAATAAATGTTGGACATAAGCTTCTTTAAAAGACCTTATTTTAGCCCTTCTTCTGGCCTGTCTTTCTCTAGCTGTTGAAGCCATTTTTGATCTCTGATCTAGTGCTAATGACTTAGTGAATAAAATGTTGACCCATAGAGAGCACCTCTTCAACGCTTGGCACTGCTTTGAAAGTTGTGCCATATATAAGGAATAAAAGTGTGTTTTTATTTAATTAATGCCAAGTTTAAAGCATGAAACTTACTGAATAAATTTATTTCATTCATAATTGAATTTTGGTGGAGGAAAACCTAAGGTTTGCAGTTATTTTGTACCTGCAGTAAATTAATAAATGATGTTTTATGTAAAATCCTATAAAATTCTGAAGAGATTAAAGCGAGTTCTCAGAAATAATATCTTAAAATTCTTACGTGAAGGTATATTTTTAAAGTTTGTTATTGACAATTTGTATTTATACAGTCGGTCAGTTACTATTATAAATAAACTTCAAGCTAGACACGAGACAAAAACCAAGAAAAGCACTAATAATAGTCAAACTAGTTATAAGTTTATTTGTTCCAGTTTTATTCAGATAGGACACTTTATGATTGATAAATAACATGACTATTGAACTACAATAATATTCAACCCATAATCATTGGAAAAAGTAACTTTAAATATGATAAAAAAGATTGTGAAGGACGTACATTAGCTATTTTTGTACGTCCGTCACATAGATTTGCTTGAAATAGACAGGTTGGTCCATCGAATCACAGTGGTTCTAGAATGCAAATTTGAACCTTATTTATAATATGAAGTTATATTATTATAAATGGTAAACCTTTTTGTGAATATGCCCACATTTTGCAAGAGATGGATGTAGAACACGCTAAAAACAAACGGGATTTTTTGTACAATCAGGGGCAATAATCCAGAAAGTTATGGTTTGAAATGCGCAAATATCAAAAGGTACTGAAATCTTTATGATATAAAGATATGTTTTAAGTTTCATCAAAATCGGATAAAAATTGTGACCTCTAGAGGGTCCACAACCTTCGTATTGCATACTTTTACACAATTTGCCTACAAAGACTAGAGCAGACATTTTGTCAGGCAGTTTCATTTCGATTTTCCCAAAATTCGAATTCAACATTCATTATGGTGGAATGGTGATATATTTAAACTGTTTTTAAAATCCGAACTCAATCAAAATTACGGTGTAACGGTGATATATTCAAACGTTTTTTTAAATTGGATAATAATTGTGACCTCTAGAGGGATCACAAGCAAAAAACGTGATTTTCTGTACAATCAGGGACCATAATTCAGGAAGTTACAGTCCGATATGTGCGAATATCGAAAGGAACCGAGATATTTGGGTTATAAACTTACATTTCAAGTTTCATCAAAATCAGAAGAAAATTATGATCTCTACATGTATATAGAGTCCACAACCTTGATATATCATATTTTTACGCTATTTGAGTACAAGGGACGGCCATTTTGTCTGTCAGTTTTGGTTCTAGTTTTACGAAATTCGAACTCTACCATCCTTAGGGTGTAACGGTGATATATTCAAACGTTTTCTTAAATCGGATAAAAATTATGACCTCTATAGGGTCCACAAGCTAAAAACGCGATTTTTCGTACAATCAGTGGCCATAATTCAGGAAGTTATGGTCCAATATGTGCGAATATCGAAAGGAACTGAGATCTTTGGGTTATAAACTTACATTTCAAGTTTCATCAAAATCAGAAGAAAATTGTGACCTCTAGAAAGTCCACAACCATGATATATCATATTTTTACGCTATTTGAGTACAAGGGGCGGCCATTTTGTCTGTCAGTTTTCGGCCAATGTTCACGAAATTCGAACTCGACCATCCTTAGGGTGTAATGGTGATATATTAAAACGTTTTTTTAAATCGGATAAAAATTATGACCTCTATAGGGTCCACAAGCTAAAAGGGCAATTTTTCATACAATCAGTGGCAATAATTCAGGAAGTTACAGTCCGATATGCGCGAATACCGAAAAGAACCAAGATCTTTGGGTTATAAACTTATATATCTTTGGGTTATAAACATGCATTTCAAGTTTCAACAAATCGGATACAAATTGTGACCTCTATAGGGTCCACAAGCTAAAAACAAGATTTTTCGTACAATCAGGGGCCATAATCCATGAAGTTACGGTCCGAATATCAAATATCGATATATGTGCGAATATCGAAAAGAACCGTGATCTTTGGGAGATAAACCTATATTTCAAATTTCGTTGAAATCGGATAAGAATAGTGACCTGTAGAGTGTCCACAAACAAATTGAGAACGGCCAAACAGGGGCAACGGCATAATACATCCACATGAAAATGTGGGCGTATAAAAACATGAGAACCCCTATGGTATTTGTCCAGAGAATTCAAAAAGAGAAGATCTGTTGAAAAATTAACCAAGGTAGGCCCTATAGGCATTTTGAGACCCATTTTTTGTCCCATCTGTAAAACACTTCCTATGACCCTATGTGTGTCAAAAATGACCCAATTTTATGCATTTATATTATAAATTATATTATATTATAAATTATAATTATATTTTAAAATAATAATAAAAAATTCTGCGAAGGCCAAAAATATCGGTACTATTTCAGTAACGTACTTCTACCAGTTCCTGTGATCATAGAGACTTGAAATTTTCAGGGGGTGTTCATGGGGACTAGCCATCTCACACCAAACTTCAGCCGAATCGGTCAATAACTTTTTATTTTACCGTAGTTTAGCTTCTAACAAGAGAAAGTTTATCCGATTTTGACGCCATTTTGTTTGTTGACTACTATTTAGGCTCGAATAACAAGACACTAAGATGGATTCCGACACACTGCGCTTCCTGCCCAACGCTGTAGTTCATGATAATAACAATAATTTTGTATATTTTAATTTTTGTGCTAAGCCACCAATTTCCATAAACGACTATTTAGCGTTGACCAGTTGGATTGGCCTTTAAGTGTGCATATATTGTCGTGACCTTGACTTTGACCCCATCTTCAAATTTCCTATCATGCTTGGGGACTTTGCGTTTCTGCGTGGGAGAATGCTAGATCGGAGACGGTCCTGCGCATTTTATGACGTCATATGTGGATTGTGGGTTAGGATAATGGTTAGGGTAAGGGCTAGGACCTGTAGATTTTGTCATAGTCTAACCCTTACCCATAATCCACATACATGTATGACGTCATAAAATGCGCAGGACCGTCTCCGATCTAGCGTTCTCCTTATGCGTGTCATGTCAGAACTCGTCTTAGTGTCTTGTTATTCGAGTCTAAATAGCCAACAAACAAAATGGCGTCAAAATCGGACAACCTTTCTCTCGTTAGAGGCTAAACTACGGTAAAATAAAAAGTTATTGACCGATTCAGCTGAAATTTGGTGTGAGGTCATAACTAGCCCCATTAACACCACCTCAAAATTTCAAGTCTCTACGATCACGGCAACTGGTAGAGGTACGTTACTGAAATAGTACCATGTTTGCACCATGCACAGGTACCGTAACACATAATTAATTGTGGTTAGATCTAAACATTAAGCCCACCTGAAGATTTCATCAAGGTCACAAGATGGAAACCGGGCTAGAGCTAACCTAGCCGTAGCCCTAACCCACTGGTATTGGTATATCTCAGCAACAATCACGTGTGCTAACCGGCCTAACCCTGTATACATCTCGTGACCAATAGGAAATCTGCAGGTGGCCTTAATGTTTAGATCTGACCACTAATTGTCTGTCTTAGTGTAATACTCACTGTATTAAGTTCTGTGGGTTTGTTGGCTGTGCTGACTGTTTCTAGCATGAGATATAATGAAGAGAACATGACTAAAAAAAAAAGTGCTCCCCATATTACCATGTAACGTTTCATTATTGCGCTTTTTATGTGCAATTTGCTAAGACAGCGGCATAGATTATTCATAAAAATCTAAAGTCAAATATTATGTATTTTCACATCTTTCTATTTGGAATTTGTCACAAAATAGAAGACTAAACTAAACGTAACGTATAGATATTAAACCGACTTGACAGCATGTACACTGTGAACTACGTCATAAGATTCTGAGATGACAAAGTACACATAACGATTCGTCTACAGATAAAATTTAAGTAGGTTCGCCTCCATCCGTTCAAAATGCAAGCGGGAAGCTTTATCAGATTAACCATGACGTAACCATAATAACTTTATTTGAAAAGAGTTGAAAATTAGCCCAAACTGAATATAAATAGAAAATAATAATTTATACTATACGTGACATCCTTGGCCGAACAGACATGACGTACCCAAACACTTTGACCCAATAAATTTGGGTCGCATTGACCCAATAAATTTGGGTGGTTAAATGACCGAAAATTATTGGGTCAAAGCGACCCGAAAAAAATATTGGGTCCTTCATGTCTCTATATACCCAGTATTTTTTGGTCAAATTTGACCCATATGTGTTGTTGGTCGAAATTGAGATGGGTCGCACTTCTTAGGTGGCATTTGCGTTTCAAGAAATGCAAAATGTGATGCGCGGCCTTGGGGTGTAAGACATTTTAATTTTAAGGGTTGAAGTTGAATCACAAGACTGAAACAGAAAAAAGACAGAGAAAGAAGTTTAATTTCAAATTTGAAAATATTGGTAGCTTCCTCTTTTGGTTTGCTTAAAGGTGGTCTGGCTGTGGTAGGCTCGCGTGATAATCACTTGGAACACTGTGCTGGTACTGTGGTGGGTCACCGTCAGCTGACTCCGATGCAAATCAAGTATGGTGGTGGTGGCGGGTTCATCCTCGCGTTTAGGAGCAGGCTACTTCACCATCCACCTCTTCAGACTCTTGGTCTGAAAATGGATGAAAGAAGTAATAATATGTAACAGGCCTTGCCTGAGTAGAGCGAAGCTGATGTGATTGTTGTCAAATAAAACCTTCATAATAAAGTTTCCCCAATTGAAAAAAGAACAAAAAGGTGTGAGGATTTTCATTGACGTCAAAATTATCTGACGTCATTTATTCGACGCGTCATAGAAATATTTCTTAGAGACCCAAAATCTCGCTTGGGCGAGATTTGGTAAGTTGACATGCGCTGACATGCGCATTGACAGACATGCGCATTGCCTGTTTTCCCCAGTGTATCCGGTTCCTGTCTGAATTTTTTTTTAATCAACCGTCTGTGGGTGACATTTTCAATTACGCTCCTGTGTTACCGGAAAAGAGCTTTGCTCAAGCACCGCGCTTCGCGCGATGCTTTAGAGCTTCGCTCTATATCACTTATCAGATTCTTGCTAAGATTAAGAAGATAATTATTTCTATTTGCTAGGCGCAGTGAGTGACCCAAAATGGTTGACCCAAAATTTCCGACTAGTATATTTTGGGTCGGATGTATCATTGGGTCGGCCCGACCCAAAAATTCAAACAGTGTAATGTATCTTAATGTAAACAATACATGTTGTGCACCTTATTTTGATCGTCATATCGTTTGTAAATAAAAAGATTGATTGGATTTTAGATGTTTTTTTTTTTTTAGTTATTGCCATCCCCGCTCAGTACACAAATATAGTTTTATATTTTTTAGAAGTGATAATATCCTATAATTTCTATGCAGTGTATGAATGGGTAATGGGCTGATCGAAGTCTGGTCTATTTGTTCTGTAGATCTATAACGCCACCCAAAAAATTAAAAATAAATATAAAAGGTCTGTGCTTAAGATTCCCCAACCACTCTATTTTTTTAGCCATACTAGCCGGCCCTAAATATTTATTTTCTCTTTTCCCAAGCCCTATAAATCTGTCTTGGCGTGCTTTTTTGCAGACAAATTCGAACCCTAAAATTTCTGTATTGACAACAGTCCGAATCATCAGCATTTATTTACAGAACCATACTCGGTTATTAAACAAGAAATGCTAGGAAATAAAAGTATAAACACTTTACGGTAATTTTCAGCTATAAAAATGTTTACGCACTGATTGGGGACTAGTTTTGTTTAAATCTTGTGTTTAAAAAAATATAATACCTGTGCGTTTACGGTTAAAAGGCCGACACTACTTTTTTCAGCCAAAACCGCCGACCCTATAAACATTTTTTTCCTCATTTACCAGGTCCTGTATAATCTGTCTTTGGGCGGTTCACTGCAGACAATTTCCAACACATCTCTACAGACAATTTCCAACATAGTCCAAATTGTCATGTTACCGAAAAAAAAAAAAAAAACGTTTTCCGACCGACCCCATTTTTATTATAGGCAAGCAACCCTGAGCTACCGATCCTATCTTTTAAAAGCCAAATTCGCCGTAAGCTTTTATATTCTGAACTGTTTATCAGTGATCAGTTTGCTCTTTCCCCTCACAACCCATGTTTACCTATAGTCCGGTGGCTGAAGGGGGGGGGGGGGATCGTCACCCGAGCTGTGAATTTATGAGACCAAGTTTTTCTAGACCAGTTTTTTGCGTAGATTCCGAATCTGGGTGGTGACCAGGCGATATGGGGGTCCAATGTCTACAATTGAGGGAAAATGTGATTATGTTGAAATAAATGGGGATGATGTTATCTATCTATCTTCTATACTAATTTTTGTGACTGTCGTTTGTCTGTCTGTTTGTTTGTTTGTCTGTCTGCCTGTCTGTTCGGGGTTGGCGGCTACACTAGATCTGCCCCGAGTCTGAAATTTGGGGTATAGGGGTAGCTCGGACCGGGGAGTAACATAGGCCAGGTGGCGTTAGTCTACCATTTCCGGTTTCGGAGTTATGACCCCCGAGCGAAGCCGAGCATTCTGCTAGTATATAAATAAAACATAGATTTCTAGGACTTGTCCATCTCTAAATAAGTGTATATGATGCCCCTAGACAACTTGTTTCATTTGTGGCAAGGTGGGAGGGTGGTTGCAGGTGTGCTTGTGTGGAAATGGGGGGGGGGGGTAAATTGGCGGGAAATGAATTCACACTGATTTAAATGATGATTTTCTTAGAACTTGATGAACCATCTCTACAAATATGTGTATAAAATTCCTAATGGGTGTGGGGGCACCGGGATGGGTGCTCATGGGGGGGGGGGGGGCAACATGTATCTTTGTGGACAGAAATCATTTGGTTAAATATTGACCTTAAAAGTGGTTTCTCGTTAGCTTTTCTTTCAGTACCTATATTTGGTCATTCAAAATATTAAATTATGATGGTACTCTTCAAGAGATCTGGAAATGTAAATCAAAAACACAGTAAATCAGGGACATGTTTAGATATTAGTTTATTCTTAGTCTTTATCAGAAGATTCAAAATCAAAAGTTCATAATATGAGCGAGATAAATATCTTCTTGGTTCCTTACCAACAGCTCGCATATGTCCTTTGGGTATGCTTCAGATACCAGTTCAGATTGTAAATCTTCACTCCAGCCATGTTATATTCGCTAGGCCGCTACAATCACTGATAAGGATGACATCAATGCGACTTAATGAGTCTCAAATATTAACTTTTTCCACCGACAAATTAAATTCTAAAACATTTTTTTGATGTATTAGAAAAATAAATAAAGACGTTTGACGTATTTGTAGGTAAAAATTATTTCCTATTTAGTAAATGGGTATTAAAATGACTAAAAGGTAGCATTTGGCCCGAAGCAGTAACGTCTTATGTAAACAATGCACGCGCCATTCAGCCAATGATTTACGCCGCGTGCTGTGACGGCACGTGTTAAAGACAGTCATCTTTTACAGAGATATTAGAGAAGACTCGTAATTCTCTGTGAAACAGATTGCAATTTCGCGATTGAGCACCTGATCGGGACCATTATGTTGATAGCCTACAAACGACTCGCTCTTCGTCAGGTTGAATGGTTTCGCGAAGTGTTAAAATTGAAAACAAAATCGAACGTGATATGGTTTGCAAATACTATTTCAAATATAAGCTAAACAGCATTTGTTCATTCATTTTTTAAGACAAGTGCGGGATTTGGAGAATTTTATTTAATATTTTTTATTTTAACAGTTAAGCCAATTAATATTTATATATACTGTTGGTCTATATTATTTTTATACCGTCTGAACGACTAGCCACTGTGCGTGCCAGACTCCGTCCTGTATCAATAACAAGGAAGGGAGAACCACGCCGGAAGATATCGTTTATATCATAGAATATATTTCTATGGCCAGTTAGTATACACACTGGCAAAACTAAGCTTTACAATATTTCTGACCCCTCGGACCCCATTAACGATATAAATATTGGGCTTGTGTGCTCACACATGGTATTGTGCGTCATACAACATCAGCAGTCAACACGCACCTGAAATACTGTTATCAATTGCAGACATTTAACAGAAAGGGACATCTGTATGTTCTCTTGTCCATTATGTTTTCTGCATTTTTCTCTAAATCAAAATTTAACCAATAGCATATTCTTTGCATAGGATGAAGGCATCGGGTGTTTTCTACGGAAGCCCTGGAGAGACTTCCGACTTCCGACTTCCAACTTCCGAGTTCCGACTTTATTCAACTTCTGACTTCCAAATTCCGAGTTCCGACTTCATATTAGCCAATCAGAGTGCAATAAATTGTGGGATGTACGCTTTAGACGTGTGGAGAAAAGACATGCTAAGTTATTAAAATGTTTCCCCCAACCTTTTACGTTAATTTCTGGAGACTATTTGATTTTCATCTACTTCCATCTAGGTTATTCATAATCAGATATTGTTATGAGCCTGATATCATAGAATGGGATTGCGAAAAAGACTTAATGTCGATTCCATTATTAATGTCATTAACCTGGAACTTAACTTGGATTTTAAAACAATGTGGAAAGGGGTTATTCGGAATTGTGAATACGTGGTGAGGAGGCAAACGGTACTGGACATCTTAAGACTTCTGGATTCATATGGGATAGCACGGAGAAAGGCACATTGTTTAATAAGAAAATATTCTGCCCCAGGGCCTAACTTCATTTGGCATATCGATGGATATGACAAGCTCAAGCCATACGGATTTGCTATTCACGTGGCAATTGATGAGTTCAGTCATAAAAATTTGTGGTTAGAGGCTTGTCTAACTTAATAATGACCC